AAAAAATAGGGATGAAAATCCAGAATAAATCGAAAGAAAGAAAGATAAAGATACAAAGGCAGTAATGAAAGAAAAAAACGAATAATTTGAAAAAAAAAAAATCCGAGAAAAGGAAAATAAAAGAATGAAGGAAGGGAGTGAATGGAGGGAAAATGAAGGAAGAAAACAGTTTTTTTTAGTTTTTTTTTTTAAACATATCACCCCAAGCAAGGCGGGAAGCCACCAGGACGCAAGGGGTTACAGAAGATTTAGAGCAAGATCAGATAGGAGTGATAGAAGAAAGGATGAGGAGAAGGATAGTGGATAGATCAAGGCAACTGGAGATGTCGATTGACATTACACTTGAATAGCTGGAGATTATAGCTCTCAGGGAAACAGGAATAGGGAAGGGAGTTTCACAGGAGAGAGGTGCGAGATATGAAGCTATTGGAGTAGAAGGGATGGCTACATTTAGGAGTTTCGACAGTGAAGGGGTGAGAGCGGAATTCCAGCCTCGTAAAGCGCTGGAACTCATGACGTCTGGGAACCAGCGAATACAGGTCCTCGGAGCAATTGCCATGAAAGTATTTGTAGAACAGACAGAGAGAGGCGACGGCGCGTCTGTGAGAAAGTGACTGTAGACGAGATGCCAGATCAGGGCCAATTATATTGCATATCCGCCTCTGGAGCTTATCAAGAACCCTGAGACAAACAGTAGGGGCTCCAGACCATATATGGCAGCAATACTCCATGCAAGGGCGAATTGTTGATTTGTAGATCTGGAGGATCGACTCAGGGGAGAAAAACTTCCTGGTGCGGCTCAGGGAGCCAACTTTCCTCGCAATGGACGAGGCAATTGACTCAATGTATTTGTTCCGTCTCAGGTCAGCAGTCAACGTGAGACCGAGTTGAAAATAAATGAATGAATGAAAAAATGAATTATGAAAGAAAGAAAGAAGGTAAAAAGTAACTGTTGAGAAAGTGATGAGATAGTGAGAAAAAAAAGATAGGGAGGGAAAAGGGAAAATAGCCCTTAATAAAAAAAAAAAAGAAGGAAAGAAAGAAAAAAAAAAGAAAGAAAGCAGAAGTCAAGTAAGAATTAGCGGAACGAATGGAGACAAAAAAAAGAAAACAAAAGTAAGAAAGAAAGATAGCATTTACATTAGTCGGACTATTGTCCTCATCTTTGTCGCCATATTTGTCACAACGTTTCGGCCGTTTTACGCTCCAGCCTTCTTCAGGTGGTTGGAATTTCGAACTGAACCCTTTATTTCGATCACTGGGGTAGACTGTTCTAGTTCCACGTGCCATGCTTGATGGATGTCAAAGAAAGATGCTAAGCTGATTGAACTTTTAGTAATTTCATGACTTTTGGTCCTAATTGTGTTTAAACTATTCTTTGACGTTGAAGATCTGTATCACGTTTATGTTCTAAACCAGTACCGTATATATAGTCATGTCTAAGCAAAATTCACGTTTCCTGTGACCCATGAATTTTCGTTTGCACGAACCAATGTCTGGAAACAGTTTCGATAGTAATATGAATAATCATGTTACACGATATACAGGAGGAGGCAGAGAAGGACGTTTTTGAAAAATTCAAAACGTCATCAATTTTACACAAATAACATTATTCGGACTATTGTCCTCATCTTTGTCGCCATATTTATTACAACGTTTCGGCCTTCGGTAGATAAAGGCGTTAGTTAGATCTAGTTGCAGGACCCAAAGAGCGTTCTAGATATAAACGTTTTATCAGCAGGGTATATTGGTAATTTTATAAAAATTATATAGCATACTGTTAATTATATTATAATCCTATAGGTGTGTTCTATCGGAATAAAGTGTCGTTACCAACACTGGAGTTTGAACACAGATCACCAGAGGCCAAACACAGGCGATACCATTTTGAATAAGCCAATCACGTGATAGTAAAGTAAATATATATATATGGGAATTAGCGTGGCGTCTAATTGATCATCATTTCTATTCTATCCTCTATTACTATACGGATCACTCTACACTATCATCTATCTCTATATTATTCACTATATTATTTCTCTATACTGATTACTACGCGGATTACTATTCGGTGTCTACTATTCGAGCGAGTATTACCGAGCAAGCACTATTAGTGCGAGTGATATTCGAAGGCGTGTGACACCAGTATTGTTCAACGGCGTTACTATACTTATAACTGCGATTACAAAGTCTCTACTACAACTAGCATTACGAAAGTGACAACGAGTATTCGTTGACATCACAAAAGTGGCAACGAGTGTTCGTTGACATCACAAAAATGATACTATTAATTCTATAATAAATCAGTAGTATATTGGCAATTCTATAATAATCCTATAGCATACTCTTAAACACAATGATACCTCTATAGTAAATACTGGTAATAATATAATAATCTCTAGCAAGAGATGTGGACGGACTAAATTTTTACAATTAGCAAAAATGAAAAAAAGTGTAAAAATTTGTAAACGGCTAAAATAAATAAATGAATTCCTCCGGTAGTTACAAGCAAAAAAAAAAAAAAAAAAAATTAAATAAATCCTATGAAGATCGAACCTGAAAACACTTCTTTTAAGATTTTATATCGCCAGCCATTATTTCTAGAAAGATGCTTAGCCTTGATACGATCGCTCTTTAAACCGGGTTTTCAATAAGAATTTTAAAAGAATCGTAATTTAGAATTTTGCCGCCGTCTCTTGTAGTTTTGGTTTAGATCTTAGATATGATTGCTTTTCTGTTACAAAATTCTAATCGAACATTTATTCTATTTTTTTTTTTTTTTTAATATTGCCAAACTCGATTTTGTTTTTTCTCTCTCTCTCGCCATTTTCTATAGCTTCTTGCTTGGGTCGTACTTTATGCAGTTTAAATTAAATGGAATTTCGTACAGCTGAAGGGAAGTGGTTGACAATTACCAAAAATAGGTATTTCATTTTGTCGGAAGCTATTTCCATCAGAAATCAGCTTCATGGACATTTACAGAAACGGTTTATGCAATTATTTATAATTAGATTATTACATAGACAAAGCCCGAGAGAGAGAGGATACGTCCTCCAGGTGACTAGTGGATTGCTGACTATTATATATATATGTGTGTATGTGTGTATGTGTGTGTGTGTGTGTGTGTGTGTGTGAAAAGTGTATATAAATATAAATAAATATATATATATGTATAATTATTTATATATGATATGCGCGGTACTTATTTTTTAAAACATTAATCAGTTTGTCTGACGATCGCTAAAGCGTGAAACCCAGGGTCACAAACTCACATCTATCCAACCAAATAAATATATATATATATATATATATATATATATATATATATATATATATATATAATAAATATACATATACCTACGTTTGGTGTGTGACTTAAGTTTCGTTTTTTCTACCAACTTATCAGGCACAAAATATCACTCCAAACGTTGGTATATATGTATATATATATATATATATATATATATATATATATATATATATATATATATATATATATATATATATATTACCTATGTCTAACGATATTGAGAATCGTTTGTTTTTTTACACTTTAAAATAAATTTAGTAAATATTCATTTCTTCACCTGTGTACGCACTCTAACACGCGCATATACGCTAGCTAATATCCAGTTATTTGATTTACCCACCTCTTTATCTATCTATCTATCTATCTATCTATCTATCTATCTATATCTATATCTATATATATATATATATGTGTGTGTGTGTGTGTGTGTGTGTGTGTGTGTGTGATTATTATTGCATGAAACTCTGAGTAGCGGATTTTAATATTATTCCATTATTAATATTATTATTGCATTCGCTAACGCACAAACACATGCACACACACACAAATATATATATATATATATACATATATATATATATATGAAGAAATATAGTCTTAATGTGTGCTATATTTATGGGATAAAGTGCTCGATATCAGAGATAGAGCGTGTGTAAATATAAAAGTGAACATAGAAGTCAACACTTAGAGGCGACAGTCTGTTTCATGCGATATGCAATCGTCAGGCCACGCGTGCTGTTATTTTTCTCGGCTATTTATACATATACGGATCAGTGGTGCATTGTGGGTAGTCTATTATGGCGGTTATTTTACCGGAAGTCGTTTATTTAAAAATTTGTTTATATCACTTATTTAATAGTTTTGTTTGGTTTGAGAATTTAATTAAAGCTATTTGTTCCGTTTGCGGGTTGGTTGTTGTAGTTTTATTCTCACTATTATTTTGGCAGAAACAGTTTTATATATATATATATATATATATATATATATATATATATATATATATATATATATATATATATATATATACGTGCGTGTGTATGTGTATATGTTACACACACATAAATATAGAGAGGAATAGTATTTGCGTGATGCTGCTTGGAGGTCATTGATGTTTAGCAAGCAAAGATAAATAGACAGAGAGGTAGAAAGATTATTTCACATGTTCACCGATTAATACCGGTTTACCCTCAATCGACATTTGGCCCCCCACAGTAAAGTAAAATTGGAAAATCTAAATTTAAGATCCACTCAGCGGGATGACCATAATTTCTCAGACATTGCAAATGGCCTACCAAACATCCAATTATAAACTTTCACGCTGACCAGACACAAGCAATCTTCCACACGCCCCTGTGTATCGCGATTCCATGACACAACCTCAATTTCTATACATAGATAACATGTATTTATATACAACTTAGAAAGGGTTCGTTTTTTTTCACGCGCGTACAGAAACGTCCACGCAAACACACACAGTTTATAGGTCCTAATGGTTTACTAAAAGGAGATAGATTCAGACTACTTACCCGTCTTTGGGACAGGCGTAAAGGTTTATCCTTTGTTTACGGGTTAGTATTGGGTTTTCAGTTCGTTTTCCTAAAGTCTTCTCATTCTCTTTCGTCCCCAATAAATCTTTGTGTCTTACTGGTATTTTCACCTTGCTTCTGATGAAATGATTATGTGTAGGGGCTTACGGCCACATCACATTGGAACACCGGTTCCCGTACGATCCCCAAAGTTAAGCAACGTCGAGTTTTGTCAGTATCTAGATGGGTGATCGCCTTGGAATAACAGGTTCCGCAAGATTTTATTTGCGTGTGGTGTAATGGATAATGGCTCGGAATTTTTAATCGGAGAGCCAAGTTGCAATTGCAGCTTGGTTCATTATTCTCACACTTTCTCCCCATCTATGGGTTAATTAGTAAGACATGTATTACTAAAACTTTTATCATCGCCAGAAAAATTTTTTTACAACATATCTATATTTCTGTATTAAACAACCCATAGAGATTGATATACCGCTAAACAAAAAAATGTACACACACACACACATATATATATATATATATATATATATATATATATATATATATATATATATATATATATATATATACTCGACACTCCCAGGTCAAGTAGATCATTTCCCAGGAGCACAATGTTTCATAGAGAGTCCTGGTGCATTAAGTGCCACAATTTTTGAATTCAGAGTTGCCATCCCACTGCTTGTCTTGCTATTTACCCATAGGTGGAGGGAGAAGGGGAGGATTCACACCTTTCCCAAGGGTATTATCAACTAAATGAACAAGAATTCGAACTCGGCTCCAAGCCACTATCCATTACTCCACCGTGCCTCTTCAATATATATATATCTTTCCTATTTTCTATATATTTTCACACACACACACACACACACACACACACACACACACACACATATATATATATATATATATATATATATATATATATTATTTTAGTTTTTTTGTTTTTGTTTTTTTTAAAAAACAGTGCTCGATACACAAATACAGCCTAAATTATAATTTTTTTTTTTAAATATATGATTCCATCGCTATTTTTCAAAAGAATAATTAATAGATTAATTATATGGATAAAATTTTTAATTCGAATAATTAATATACTAAAAATATGGATTAAATTTGAAAAAGGATTAAATAAGGAGCAAGTCGGAATGGTAATAAAATGGTAATCTTAATCGCTTCTTCATAAGCTTTAAAGCACCGAACCACATTCCGAAAACCTTGCTGCTGAAGATTTCTTAAATTATATCATCTCAAGCAAGGCAATAAAGCCACTAAGATCCATGAGGTTAGTGAGAGTGAGACAATATGAGTAAAACACTATTAAGGAGATAGAATAATAAAACAAACAGGGATTAAGAAGACAGAAGATAACTATTGACATTGTATTAATATTTTTAAAGATCAAAATTGACTGTAAAGCAAGAAACCTGATGAGAATTCCACAAGCGAGAATTACGAGAGACGAAACTGTTTGCATAGAATTTATGTTTATATCTAGCCATTTCAACTGTAAGATGATGAGACCTTACCGCCAATCTAGTACTGTGCATGAATTCCTAAAATCTACGTATCATAGAGGGAAGTAATATTTATTTTGATATAATACAAAATGTGGCACAAGGCCAATAGTTTGTAGAAGAGAAGGCTGGTTTTCAATCTATCTTAACATAAACATAGCCACAATTACTGACCAAACATACCTTACACAGAAATAACACATTCTTACTTACTGTTCTTGCTACGGTCACGGTGTTTACACGTTCCCCCTACGAGAACGAGATGTAACACAAGGTCTTTTAAAAGAGCGCGTACACTCGGACAAGGGAGAAAAATTCCCCACAGTCCCCGCAACCGTCAGTTGCGCTGGCCTCGGTGCAAGCACCGATCCCTCGCTCTAATGCAATGGGAGGGTGTGGCCTCGGGCAGCTGTTCCCCAGGGCTGGGCACCTCATCAGAATAATTTTCCGCAGTTGCCGCTCTGTCCTCAGACAGAGAAGCCCCTGCGCGCACTCTGTCCAAGGACAGAGACGCAACTGAGAGATGATAAGTCATGCGGTGTTTACTCATTCCCCCACGAGAATGAGATGTGACACAAGGTCGGATTAATGTGGGGGACCCGAGCGCGTACACTCGGTCAGGGACAAAAGTTTCCCTCAGCCCACGCAAGCATCGGTTGCGCTGGCCTCGGCGCGAGCACCGATCCGTCCCTCTTGTGCTCTATCCCCCAAATGCCTCAGGTCTCTATAGAGTCCTAACTTGTTCCGATATATACAATTTGTCTGTAGCCCGTACTTAACTAATAATACTAATAACTTATAAAATAAATTTAGGAAGAAATTAAAAATTGAAATCTTATTAAGACATTGAAAACTGCGTATTACGTTGGTGTCAATTTTTTCCCCAAATTCGTAATAACATCGAACGTAGTCAATATACGGCTTGCTTGTGGATGCCAGATACTGTAAGCGGTCGGTGAAATAACGTCACACTATTTGAAACTGGAGATCCGTGTTCGAATTCCGGCCAGGTTCACTATATTCACTTAAGCGCAAATAAACTTGGGAAAGGCGTGAAACCACCCCTTCCCTCCAAGCTTAAGACTTGTATTGGTGAAACATTATTATCCCCAAGAGGTTCTGAAATTAG